TACACTCTTTTTTCACTTGTGCCTTTCAGGTGAACGACAGCCACTGACCGACAAGAACAAAACCGACCCGGGAAACTTGGGCAAAAGCCTCGATCCTGTATATCAATCCGTGAATCCGTGTGTCAAGCCAAAGACATGGATGAATATAACCAGCCGTTCACCATCCGAAAAATAACGTAATTATTCAAAGAACTTCAAGTGCGTCATTCAGGGCACCAAATATCTGGTGCTGCAAAAAATGGGGTGCGGAAATGCATACGGAAAATTTTACGCTGCTTTAGCGATTTGGTATCGGGCAATTTCGCCTTGTACAACAAGGTGGGAACTCAGCAGCCAGTCACCAGAGTTTTGATAATTATCGCTGGTGGGTAGATGGAACCGGAATTATATTTAATTAAACACTTGCGCTGCACTTAAATTGTCGGCATTCAGACAAAAGCGTAAAGACTGTTAAAGCACCGTAGGCGAGGTTGAGCAGAAACTACTAAGAGTCATACTTGAAGAGTGCTTCAAGATTTCTCAATACACCATGTCTCTCATAAAATCGATGACATTTCTCTCAGGTGAGAATATCGTACTTTTAAATCTAAACACTTGTTTTGTGGGACCATTCCCCGTGGAAGAAATCTTTGGAATATTCATACCACCTCTTGATGAAAGCTAACAAATCACGTATGTGCTCGCATAGCCCTGCCAATTAGACTGGGTATACTCAGATAGTTGTTTGGAGGACATTCAATCATTTAAAATGCACGAATTTGTGAGATTATTTGCCTGTGTTGCCAAAGAAACTTCTTTCATGTTGTCTTAATTTGATGGGGCTGAAAGCTTATTGGCGTTTGTCGACGTCGGCGCCGTTAGAAACTTTGTCACGTGACGATCATCTAGCTGATGATTGCGTGTCCACTGGTGATCAGGCAGGCAACAAAACCGAAGAACGGAGAGATCTCGCTCAGATGTTCCGCATTGTAACGTCATAAATTTTCCACCTTCTGGCTGCTTAGGTTTTTGATTTTTGAAAACCATCTGGAAACAGATTTTTGAACCGCCCGTTCAAGGGTATGCACACCGGTCCAGTGTCCTATACACTTTAGTCGATAGTTAAAGCAGTAAAATTATGCCACCGGAGAGCACCCCGAGGATATTTGCCCTAACATCAGACATTTCGTGAATATCCACAGGGTTGACCGTACGGCTGAGTATTTGGGCATTTGTGGGACAGTCGAATACGGGCCTGTCGAAATCTTGGGGTCGATGCCAAGCCAGAAACTCTGATTGCTCGAACGGACGGATGCCATGAATGTTATGATGTAACACGCCACGCCGAATCCAACACACCGTATAACGTGTTTTTCGGGCGATGCGTTATGGTGACCCGTGAAAGGTATCATAATTCACGGTGGTTTCGTCTTCGGGAGGATTGTTTGGTATGTGTGTGAACAAGGAAAAATGTTCAGAATAGCCATCGAGGCGTTATACTGTTATGCCTCAACGCCATCGAAGGTTGTCAACGAGGCAGGTGAGAAATTTGCTTCTCGGTTTTTCCGTTAGTGGACAAGCAAAGTACATGGCATCAGCATGAAACAACGACCAGGTTTAGGCGGCCACACGAAATGCGAAAGGTGTCAGCTTCCTTCAGGATTGCTGCGTGAAAAGCCAGTCACAGGCCTAGAGAAGGATTGTATAGTATACTAGAGCTCGCATCTTGCAGCGGCCGAGCTGACGGTGTGTTGCGGAAGACGTTCGGATTTGGATGCACAAATTGCGAGACAACGATGGGGGCACCGCAAATCCCATACTCGCACTGATGGGTGGCAATCGACGCCAAGGCGCTTCCCCATCAAGCAATATGAAACGGTCAACTGTAAAGAACGAAAACCTAGAACAACTAGGCTAGATGAGTGCAGGCACATCAACCATCAGACCGGCTGATCTGACATGAAGCTGAACACAGCTACTGAGTTGATGGCCAATGTCACTAAAAGCGTGGTCGTGGATGCTTTAGGGAAAAAAATTCGCGATAGGCGCAATTCATAGATTGTACCTTGGAAGTGTGTGATACACTGGCACCGTATAGACCCACAGCTATCACTGTTGAAGGGGTAACGTGCAAAGGATTTTCGAAGGGTGTGGCATAACAAACGCTTTTGACCAAAAAACGCCGTAAAGAATATTGTTGAGTATTTTGGCGGAGAAAATTCAAACAGCAGTGTAACCCTGAGGGAAAGGTTCGGTAAATTTGAATAAACTACTGGGTTTGTTCGGGCCAGCTGAGCAGTTTTTCGTGAGGCAAAAGAACACTATGAGCACTAGAGACGATTAAATAAACAAGTGACAAAGATGTGCAACTGTTTTAAATGCTGCGCGTAAGACTGGCAAGGAAGATCTCTAGATACTGAAAAACTAAAAACGGCCACACAGGAGCTGTCGATAAAGCATCTAAACGTTTCTGCTGCATTACCAAGGCTGATAAGCGTGCCTAGAATCTTAGATAGCCCAAAGGGTGTGGTGACAGCAGTTTTATGAACGGCACCGTGTTGTATGGGATGTGATTATAAGCGCAGAGAGTATTATTATGGAAATAAACAGTTTATCCGGGCAAATATGAAGTGAAATCATGCAGATGTGTAATATGGTAGCGGTTAGATATGAATATATATTAGATTGCTCCGTATGCACTTGAATAGTACCAGTCTGAGGACGCTTTCTTAGGTGCTATGCGGTAGGCTGAAGTCCACGTTCTTCGCCAAGGTCTGAGATACCTATTTGAAGAATATCTTAACATTCATCCTTGGCTACCTGCAACCTATTTATGGCTAAATGACTTTTGTGTGCAAAAACAGGAGAGCAGCGAGTATGAATATATATACATAATGTTTTAAATTTGGCTAGTGAAAAATGGTTTTAGTCAAATCTGGAAGTCAATTAAACATGGTGTCGTCATTTCAATCACAAATCTTAGAAGTATGTACCGGATCAATTAACAGCAAAATAGTAGATCAGCCTCCGGTTGAGGGTTATGCGTGGGCATTGGTTAGACATCGTCGTCTCGGATCTAACTAAATTCCAGGATTTGTGGGAAAATCGGCACCTCCGGTAGAGTGGTTTACGTCACGAATGCCGATAGTTCATGTAAACTCAATATGTAACGCGAGATTAGCCCACAAAGCTCGCCGCCCGTAGATCATGACTGAAGTGTTAATGGCAGAGTAAATGTAGAATAAAACTAGAAAATTCGGAGTTAAGGCAAGTAGAAAATATTAGAATAACCCTGGCGTCGCTTCTAATGCTAACGAGAAAACCGAGGCCGAAATTGTCGTCGGAAGTTGTCTGGCGATGGACGATATGGGTAGGGTAGTGAACTTCAATCGCCTGTACAGTTCTGTCCATTTGTTTTTCGACGATAACCAGTGGGAAGAGTGATATGTTTGGAAGGGATGTTTTTGGCAGCATTTTCGTTCATGATGCTAAAGGGCGCTACGGCAACAGCAATGATCAATCCTCTAAAAAATGAATGTGAACGAGACCAGATCTTGACTCTTGATGTCAGATGTTGTGAAAATATTTTCTTGGACCTAGACCGTCCGTGCAAGCTGCAAACACCACCATCGACCCAGCAAAACTCTCTCCTACTACTGAAACGGCTGACGCCACACGTCCCGCAGCCAAAGCGATGACTAAACCATTTGCTTAAAACGCTCCTTCTCGTCTCAGACCCCCTGACCTGCTGTCTCTCCACCTCGGGCCAAAATATCTCTCGGTCTAAATATTTAGAGACAAAGACGCGGAACGTAAGACACCCTCAACCATAACCTCGAGAATCAGTCCCTTGTTCTTCACAAGATAAATGGACCTTGCTCCGGCCTCCCCACAGTTACATGACAATTTATTTATTAATGCAAAAGCCGCAGTTATGACTGCGTGGATGGTTTTCCACCTTGCAGATCTGGTAGCATGCACGAGGGATGAAAACCTCGTGTGGTGGACGGGTACGCCCTGCGGGGAGGGTCGCCCTGTTAATTTGCACCATGGTGCGTTCGTATGACCGTCACCCCTCCAGTAGCACGAGTGTACCGCCCATTGCCGGTGGTTCTGAGCCTGACCTTTAATTCAGGAAAACCAAAAAAGAGCAGCGTTGCTGTTTGTCTGTAGCTGGATTGGCCTTGTTGCGGTTGTCACTTGTCCCACAACACCAAGAAATACAAGCTGACAACAGCTGTCCTCCCGTTTGTTCTAAAAAAAGAATATATAAAAAACATTCATGCATGGGGTGGCCTGAGAGTACCTGTGAGGCTTACGGCTAACGTCGACGTGCAAGGTGTTGCCACTCTCGTCTTATTGGGTTCACACCAACCCTAGTCCACTTCATCACTCAAACATAGCACACATGTTCTTCCCTCTTGTCATCTAGAGCGATCATATGCGCAAAATGCTAATAACTTATGATTTCTTGATTACAAGCAGTCACAGCTAGCACTTAATGGCTTTTTTGCCATGCACCATTCGTTTTCTGGAGATGACAGCATTGACTCGGTGACTGATGATCCTTAATCTTACTTTCCTGTTAGATTGATTTAGTAGACCTCAGTTAAGCTACGATTCTTACCACTTATCTCGGAAACTGTTGCCCGTCCGCTTTTCACTTGTCCACTGTCACTGCTGACAGTCATTCTGTTTCTTTCTCTTCGCCCCTCTTCCCAAGCTTCAGTCCTCGACCGCAGTTGCCCAAACGCCTCTCAGAACTGTTATTCATTCAAACTGGCTGGTGCTCGGTCTACACTCACACGGTCCTCTAACAAAAGGAAAATTGTCCGTGAGCCTACATCTGTATGACTCCCTGTGTCAATCTCCGTCTCACCACGGAACTGCGTATCCCTTCTCCGACCCTTGACGACCGTTACGGGGTTGTCCATAAACCGAAGCATGTCAGTGCGATGATGGCATGGCACTGTCATACCCAGTGAGATGGCACTCCCGCAACTATTCTCTCCAGAATCTCGACCGCAACCCCTCGCCCGCTCATGCCTGTAGCCACAACTTCGAGCAGTTCCCATCCGGCCACGTCTCTGGGATGAACTCTTCCGTACCCAATAAATTTTCGCTCAGATTTGGCTAGCCTGGCTTTCCTACTGCAATTTCGACTTGCCCGTTGCACAAGTTCAAATCCGTATACGA